TTTCCCAATTAGGGATTCAAAAGGTGAAAAAATGCCAATAGGAGAGTCAGGTGGTCTGTACCAAGTAACAATCACAAAAGATTTTGAATTTGGCTTATGGATTTCCAAGCAAAGATTTTCTAGTGTATCCATGTGTAGGTCATTTCGTACTGTAAAGTTGATTGAAGTTTTTACATAGAAGCATACCCCTCCGCCGCATTTTGTTAGTCTATCGCGGCGAACTATTTCGTATCCCGGAATATGAACTTCTTGATCTCGAATACTCTCGTTCAGTTTCGTTTCATTTATGGAAACAATATCGATATCATTGTTTGCTAATATGATTCTTAATTCGTCTATATGAGTAATTAATTGATTAATATTGAGTGATGCCATTCTAAAACCGCGCAAAGGAGGCAATATTGAGACAGATTTTTCGGCCTTTTGGTTGTTTAATTGATCCCGCACGGCATTGACGGACAGCACATTATCTCATTCTAGGTGCGATTTAAAATTATTATAAAACTGCTCATTACCTTTAAAATTTAAGTCACCTGTTTATCACATATCACATGGACAGTGTAAGAAAAATTGTAATCTAGATAGTCATTCCTGGAAGGTAAACTGTTAAAAAGTGTATTGAAAGTTCACCTTAAAGTAGTCAGTGGCCAAGACTTTGTCACTGGTGAGACGGAAACCTGAATGCATCAACTCTAATTTCTTTTGTGTTTTCTCTTCTTCACCTATCTGTAAGAAAGAAGAGTACAAATCAATAATCAATGTAAAGGGATCAAAATCTTTAAATTCCCTTGACAGCAACAACTATGACACACTGAAATTCAAAAGTGAATTTCCAACATCATGTAAGATGAATGTGATGTCTTCTGAATTGAGAGTCTTGTTTAAAGAAATCATGTTAGTTTAACAAGAGGACTAAAAACTGCAGGAAGGCATGTTCATGATCATGGATCTTCTGCTTGTGACCAAAGTTTCCACTTCACTAATTCTCTTCAGACAAGGCACTTTCTTACAGGGTAGAAGTACAATAAGTGTTTTAATGTCTGAATACATACAGTTTGGTACTTGAGTCCATTAGCCTGCAGGAAATCATCTGCTTCCTTTGGATCAAACTTTGCCATTTCCATGAAACGAGATCTGAGAGAAAAAAACAGTGTAAATTTTGATAAATATCTCAAATATGGTTTATATTATGTGCTTATAGGCTTTGTCTTATCTATTTAATTGTATGGTAATGGGCAACTGTTGGCCAGATTCTACACTGTTTTTAAAATTTTTGAACAGAGCTCGATTGGAAGAATGCTCATAAAACAAAATTAATGTTCATCATCCCTAGATTATTGTATGTTGTATTGTTATTGAAATAATTAGAAGAAAAGTAAATTTTGTGACCAAAATAGAAAGTCAGTACAACTTATATGTAGATACCTACCTAAATAGCTCAACCTCTTGTGATAAGAACCACCGTCTAAGATCTTCCCTAGAAATGAAATTATAGCAAATTATATCTTACTTGATTGAAATTAAGAGTCTACTTTAAATTTTATAGAGTCACAGAAGAACTTACGATCTGCAATATGCAAGGCGCAGAATAAAATGAGAAATGTGATCTTTCCTCCGCTCAGCCACAGTTGCCTCAGCCTCTCGATTCTTCGAAAAGAAAATCAACATGGGAAGAATGTTGTTATTTGTAAGGAATGGGTTTGTGTTTGAAATAAACCATGAACAAACACTACTAGACTGTATAATGTTTTATTTACCTTGTGAGCTTTTTGTTCCTGGGGTAGGAACTTTTTAAGGCTTTCCTTCATGGCAGTATTATATTGTTGAGAACCTCTTTTGTGACGTATGCCCAATGTTTCAACTTCTCTGAGAACTTTTTGAAAAAATAAAAAGAACTTTTTCAAGTACTCCTAAACAAACAAACAAACAAACAAACAAATAAAAATACATATTTGATGAACAGAATAACTGAATTGAAGTCCAAGTGTAACACCACTTATGTGACGATTGTGGCTGGAAGGCTTTTAGTTGTTGTTCCTTACAGAAGAGAATTTTTCTGCTGATCAAACTGGAAATGCATCCTCGTTTTGCCTTTCCTTTATAAATACTGTTATTACAAACATCGAAATATAATACATGTGACTGAGGTTCCCTTGAGGTTTGTCTTAGAGCAAAAGGCGAATGCATTTCTATCGTAATAGAGTATCTTTTCAAAAAACTTTTTAAAGAATGATCGAAATTCATACATATAGGAGAGCTACAATTTACAATTACGTAAAAAATTTACTTCTCAAAGTCGCAATCGTTAGATCATAGTTAATAGATGCAGTAAGTACCTTTCAATCGGTCAATCGCAAACTCCTCAAAGTCCTCCAGTGTTATGTTGTCTGTTGGTGGAATCTTATACAACTGCAGACTGTACGGATACTTCCGACCATTTTCGGTGCCTTCTAACGCTGAAATTTTGCCTCTCCGTTTCCTGGTTTTGCTAAATTGCATTTTCCTTTGAAATATTTGCGTCGATCTGTAAAAGTCTATGATCTTTTCCCGCCGAAATAGAACCAAGAAAGAATACACTAGTTCCGAGTTCCTCTCCTATTTTACTCCAACTGTATTGTGGTTATTCTATTGGCGGCCACTTTAAAGTTCGTTGTGTTCTCTTTCAAAATAATTTACACTTCTCAACGTTAACCTTTAGCCTATCTTAATACAAGTATTAGTGGCTTTTGAAATATTACGTGTTCAATTAGAGCATATGGCCTTCCGATCTACTAAGATATTTAAGGTATGGATAAATTCTAAATCAAATACTACTGTAGAGGCAAATTTATTTGTTTTTGTTTTCATATCGGAGGCAAGCTCATTGTACTGGTAGCTAGTGCTGACTTCTAGGTGAAAAAATGAAATTGTAGTACTTTACGCCCTCTATTATATCCACAGTTGTTTCAATAGGAAAACTGGAGAATATGGAGGCGAAAACAGTCTTAAAATCAAGAAGATTGAAGAGAAAGAGTAAGGTAACACTCTTAGATTCAACCTGTACTGAGATTTGTTGACACAGTGGTTGTTTACCAGATGTCAAGCCGTGCGAGCTGAAATTGTGAATTGTTGGTTATTCTAGGGGACTATGGAGATAAGAAGGATGTCTTTCAGATATTTCTCTAATCATCCTGAGCAAGTTGACTTCAACACTGAAGCATTATTCACAGTGTAATTTTGAGTTTTATTTAAACAAGATCAGAGAAAATAGATGAAGTAAATGTTGAACTATGTTCTCTTTAATTCCAGGAGGACTTACAGACCAGTGGCAGCTACAGCTGGGAAAATTCACAACACTATGACAGGTACAACTGAAAAATGATTTGAAACACTAGCATTATATTTCCTCTTGATGTAATTACTGTGAGTGACAAAGTTGATGTAGACTCAAATATTTGAGAGACAAAGTGATCCTTAAATTTAAACTATAATCAAAGAAATTTCACAAAGTAAAGCCTGAGAAATGAATTTTGGCTCTTTTGAAATTATTTGCACTGGTGAAGTTCAATAGTTATTTGAGAATTACAGAAAATAAAGCTTGAATATGTATATTCAACATTTTTTTATTTTTGCTTTTTATGAAGGGCAAGACTGAATTTCAAAATGCGAAAGATTGATCCTTCAAGTGACAGTGAACAATGTGTGGCAGAGAGCAAGGAAAATGATTTTGATTCATCAAGGGAGTCACCTAAATATATCCTAACGAAAGCTCACAGAAGAAGTAAAGACAAGAAAACATCTGTGATACCTCCTCTGGGAAGCTTAAATGAAAACATAGAATTTACAGATTCTGTAACTGGATTTATACTTTCTCCCCAAGCTCAAAAACCCTACCATTGCCACTTGTGTATTAAACAATTCAAGTATTTTAGTAATTTGAAATCCCACATGAACATAGTGCACAAGAAAACAATTGTACAATCTGATATTGACAGTAAGACACCAAAACATGCAAATGGACAATTATTTCAGTGTGAAGTTTGCTGCAGAAACTTTAAGTATTTTAGCAACTTGAGAACACATAGGCTTGTTCACACTACCACAGAAATAAAGGATGCTGTCTCTGACTAAGACACTTATGTCACTTTTTGAGCTTACCACAAACTTTGTTTACTGAATAAACTGCTGTAATTTAATACCAAACATTTCTGTATGTGTGCAGAAACAACTTTGCACAGAAGTGGTTGTACACTGCCTTTCATCCATGGTTCAAATCTCATTTTTTGTGTGTCATTTTGAAGCCATTGTCACTGTGACTAGAAATTCTTGTGCAGACATTGTTTAAGAGCTATTATTGATAGAATTACCAACAATGTTTCAAAATCTGACTTGGACCTCTGCAAAGATGAAATGTCAGATAGAAACTTACTGGGCAAATGAAAGAAAGTCTGATCACAACATAGTAAATCATATACTGACCAACAGATGAAGTAAAAAATAGTCAAGAGATCCCTGTAGGTGAGCTGCCATTAGAGAAACTGCCGAAATCAAGTGCAAAAACCAAACTTTGATGGGATCCCTATAAAGCCTGAATTTTTTAATTCCTCTAATTACAACTCACTTGAGAGTGTGATTTCTGTTCTTAAAATTGCAGGGGAAAGCGGGTGGTGTACAGGGCTAAATTTCTGTTGAGTTTATGCTACTGGACCCTCAGAAACTTAACCCCATGATAGTCCATTTTGTAGCAAATTATGAAACCCATTTTTTAGTCTATTTTGAGAAAGTGTAACAGTTTTTAACCATGAATCATCTCATTTCTCAATCCCTGCATACCAGATTTTTCCTCCAAATCCTTAAAGTATGTAACTGCATTCTAGTAAGTCCATTGAAAGTGCAACCCCACCAGGCATGGAAATAAAGAGTGGATTGTCCAATTGTTTCGGCATAAAAATTAGGCAAAATAAAGCAACAAGATAGGCCTATTTTGTTGTTGTTTTATTTTGTCTGAACAACCACACAATTTAGGCCACTCTCTTCATTAGCATCTACCATCGAATGGAGAGTGAGTTACATAGCCAATCAGATTGCTGCATCTGTGGGAGAACGGTGAAGACACAGTAAGCATTGTTTTCCTTCTCAGTCTCCCACCTTTTATCTTCTAGAGCGCGGAGTCGAGCATGGTAACCAGTTATTTCAAAATGGCGGCCGAATCAATGGGTAACGAGAGAGAGAGCTTCACTTGATTTTATTCCTGATCAGCCAGCAAGGATGAGAAAAGGAAGCGAGTCTCCAAGGACTTTTAAATTATAAGTATCTAACTCTGTGATTTTCATTTATCTTCTCGATTGTTACACATGTCTGGCATGGCAGATGATGTTTTGCTGAAAGCTTATTTAATTTTCATTTGTCTCTGCTATGTACGATTCACCAGACGCTGTGCATAACGTCAATAGACTTCAAACGGAAATGTCTGTTTGTAAGTAAAATATAATTACATGGTACATTTTGACAATTTGGAGTGTGGGACTTACCCAAACAGTTATGTTCACAGCAAGATATATTTGACTTCGAGTTACTTGTTTTGCTTGTTGTAGGGTTACGTAGAGCTGAGAATCCTTCCTCTGACAAGTAATCTAACAAGAGTAAAGCTGAATTCAAAGCAATGCAATATCCTTTTAATATTTTCTTTAGTATGTTATCCTCTTAATGGCCTGATGAAACAGGTGGTTCTCAAATAAGATTGGTGAGGGGAAGTAGTGCAAGAAAGGTCCTGTTTTGTACCTTGACTTAGTGTGTATGGATTATGCGAGTCTGTGTCCGGGATGAAAGGAGATCAGGAGAACATGACTGGTATGATGCTGGTTTTCAACTGGATGATCCAGGAAAAGTTGTCTGCACAGATAACAAAAAGTATGCTAACAGTAAAAAAAGCTAATTTTCTGTACAGCTTAGCAAATAAGTGACTACCAAATCATGGTGTTAACTCATAGACTCAATAAAATGCTTTAGGATAAAGATGAAGGAGTGAATTGCAGAAACTCTCGTGAACAAAATTGAGCTACCCCAAAAGGAAATTCTTTGCAGTTGTCACAGCATTATTGCAACAAAGATATCCTACTGCAAAACATATATTGTGGTGAAAATGAATGGTTCCCTTGGTGAGATGTGAATTATAGTTCCCACAGACTCTCTAGGTATATTCTTCACACTCTTGGTAAAGGTGTAATGAGGACACTGAAATGGTGTGCAATTAATCTTAAATCTATACTTTGCAATTCTCTTTTAATAAAAAAAATTTATATATGATAGGAGAAACCTGGATAATTTCTTGGCATGCATGCAGAGTTCTGTAAATGCAGTGGATCCTGAGACTATTGGAGGGGAATTAACTGTTAGAATTCCAAAAGAAGTGTTGTCTTGTGCACATGGTAAGAATAATGATATTATTATCTCCTGGTAGGACCCAGTAATATACCCCTGGGCTGGTGAACAGCACCTCTAGGACCCAGTAATATACCCCTGGGCTGGTGAACAGCACCTCTAGGACCCAGTAATATACCCCTGGGCTGGTGAACAGCACCTCTAGGACCCAGTAATATACCCCTGGGCTGGTGAACAGCACCTCTAGGACCCAGTAATATACCCCTGGGCTGGTGAACAGCACCTCTAGGACCCAGTAATATACCCCTGGGCTGGTGAACAGCACCTCTAGGACCCAGTAATATACCCCTGGGCTGGTGAACAGCACCTCTAGGACCCAGTAATATACCCCTGGGCTGGTGAACAGCACCTCTAGGACCCAGTAATATACCCCTGGGCTGGTGAACAGCACCTCTAGGACCCAGTAATATACCCCTGGGCTGGTGAACAGCACCTCTAGGACCCAGTAATATACCCCTGGGCTGGTGAACAGCACCTCTAGGACCCAGTAATATACCCCTGGGCTGGTGAACAGCACCTCTAGGACCCAGTAATATACCCCTGGGCTGGTGAACAGCACCTCTAGGACCCAGTAATATACCCCTGGGCTGGTGAACAGCACTGTAGGGTGAAGGGTTTTGCTGGAGGACACAGCACAGTGACTCAGCCAGGGCTTGAATGCAGACCTCTTGAGCCAGTGAGCTAACCATTAGCTAACTCCTTATCTCCCCCACTTATAATATAATAATNACACAGTTTTGTTAAAGTCCCTATTCACCCTCAGAGGTTTATATATTTTGATTCTTTGTGTTATCAGGATTTATCTCCAAAAATATTTATGTGATTGATTATTAAATATTTCCCGAGATATGCCGCCTCAAAGTTACTCTTTTGGCCACACCCTTTTGACTTGGCCGGGAGAGAATTACTGGACCGAGTGATGTCACAGCAAGAATGATTGTTAACTTCTTGTATAAGAACATGTGTGCATTGCTGTAAAATGATGTGAAAATGCCAACTGGTTGCGTGGTCACTGGTTGCTGAAATACACCAGATTCGTCTAAAGGCATATTCATGAGGGACTTTTATTTACCAGTATTAACTTAGCCTGGCCAAATCAAAAGGGCGTGGCCAAAGGACGAACTTTGAGGCGGCATACCTGGGGAATTATTTAATCAATCAAAAAAATTTTTTGGAGATTAATCCCGCTAATGCAAAGAATCGAAATATATATATACCTCTGAGGGTGAGTATGGACTTTAAATTTTGTACATATATGTTTTGGCTTCAAATGTTTGTAAGCCATGCAAACATTGATCTCAGTTTGTTCTAGCTTTTCATGATATTGATGTCAAATCATTTGAATTATTTTCCATACACATTGATGCAGCGGTCAGCTCACTTGTTCAGCTATGGTTGTGCAAATTCTTCAAGGTAAGCACAACTTATTTATTTTTATTTGTTGTAAAGTGCCGCAGGTAATTTATTGGAGTTGTGCACCATAGAAATACTCTTTATTATCATCGCAGAGAAATCAACTGAATGCTACATTCTAATCAAGCAGCACAGGGCAAAAACTGTAACCTGTGAGCCGTGGAGTAAAAAATAAATGTACAGTAACTAATCCTAAAAAGCTTTTCCGTAGTGTCTATGGTCCTCCTTCAAACTGCCACCTTGAAAGTCCGGGCAATATTCAGCATGCCTGAGAGCACTGCCCTCTGCATCTTTCATAGTATGTCTGTTCTTCTGCCTCCCACCAGCTCGCGCATCATGACATCTAGTTCCTGTGACCACCCCCCGAGGGCATCCATTATGATGTTATATTGCTTCACCTCGTAGCCAGGGAGCTGCTGCCTTAGTTCCCAGTGAAGGGGTCCGTACTTCAGTGTCTTCTCTTCATCCTTTCTTGTCCGGCTGTTAACCCATGGGCAGCTCATTTCCAGTGTCACAACTCTCTTGCACATATGATTTACAATGCGTGCATCCACCTTATTGCATCTGACCTCTTGTTGATCAGCGTATATAGGGACATCCCAATAAGCTTTAACATTCTCTGACTCGTACACGGGCTTAGGCTTGTCGGGTGAGTACCAGGGTGGTATCTTGTCTATAACTCTCTTATCATACAACAGTTCGTAAAACAGTACCTTCAGTNTATGATGTTATATTGCTTCACCTCGTAGCCTGGGAACTGCTGCCTTAGTTCCCAGTGAAGGGGTCCGTACTTCAGTGTCTTCTCTTCATCCTTTCTTGTCCGGCTGTTAACCCATGGGCAGCTCATTTCCAGTGTCACAACTCTCTTGCACATATGATTTACAATGCGTGCATCCACCCTATTGCATCTGACCTCTTGTTGATCAGCGTATATAGGGACATCCCAATAAGCTTTAACATTCTCTGACTCGTACACGGGCTTAGGCTTGTCGGGTGAGTACCAGGGTGGTATCTTGTCTATAACTCTCTTATCATACAACAGTTCGTAAAACAGTACCTTCAGTACTGCGTCGTGTCTAGAGAGATACTTGCTCTGGGCCAGCGCACTGCATCCTGACAAGATATGAGTGATGCTCTCTGGAGCCTTACCGCATAATCTGCACCTCACCTTGCCTTCCCTGCTTGTGTGGGTCTTTTGACTCGTGTATACTCGCGTTGGCAAGAGCTGCTTGCATAGCTTGACGAGTCCCGCAATTGTGCATGATGGGCAGTTCTTCCACTCTGTGAGTCACCAGAAATACCCATTGGCACTCAAACTCTCATCCTCCAGCCTGGTAGTCACTAGACACCCTTACCATCGTTTGTTTCTGATCTCCTCCTCTAACTTCTCAATTTGGCACCTCTGAACCTCTTTCTTGATCCCTTGCATGTGTTCCAAATCCAACTGCAGCCCCAATTCCTCCATGCACTTAGCCGCTTCTTTAAAAATGGACCTACCCCCCATCTTTGCCGCTTGCACTTCAAACTCCCGTATCATTCCCAGTACACGATCTTCATTACCATGGAGTCTGACTGCACCCTTGATTTTTGTGGCTTTGTACTCCATTTCAACAGAGCGCAATCCCCGCCCTCCTTTACCTCTTGGCATATACAACAATGCATTCGAACTACATGGGTGTCTACCCCCACTCTCGACAACAATCTTGTGCACTTCCCTATCGATCTGCTTAAGTTCCATCACCGGCCACAGTTGTGTCCACATAAGATATCCAAGAACAGGCAATGCAAACTGATTTGACACTACCACCCAATTATAATCGGACAAGGGACTTGTCCAAATAACTGACAATTGTCTGAGATACTCTCTTGCTGCACACTCCAGGACCAACTTATCCTCCTGCCTAACACTCTCAAATACTCCAAGGAACTTGTACCACTCACCATCATCAAGACATGGTATTCTAGTAGACTCCACAACTCTCCCCTCTGAGACAGCAGTCACTTGTACCCCCCTTTTCAAATGGGCCACTGCACACTTCTTTAGGTTCCACTCAAGCCCCACATCCTCCATAGATGACTTAACCATCTTCATAACCCGTTCAAGCTTACTCTCCGATGCAGCGAAGATCTTGAGGTCATCAATATACAAGAGTCCCATAACCTTGCTGTTAATAGGTTTGGACATCCGGTATCCTTCAGTGGCTCTGATCTTCCATGCAACTGAGTTTAAGCATACGGTGAACAGCCTTGGACACAATACATCCCCCTGTGGTAACCCTCTGTTGAACTTAATCCTTTCAGAGGTCTGTCTCCCTTCCCTTGTGATCGCCACTACCTTTGTGTTCCAACTCTTACACAGTTTAGCAATGACTTTACACAACCATGTGGGAAACCTGTGTAACGTCATCTCCCCATTCAACCAACTATGATCTACAGAATCGTACGCCTTTTTAACATCAATCCAGGATCCAGGCCACGCTCAAATTCCACCTCCTCCTATGACAATCCAACGCAACTGTTCAGTCGATCAATAAGTTGTCTGTTGTTCCACTGCACCCTGCACGTGCCCCCCATACATTATTATTCATAATGTGTGCTGATTTTATTACTATGACTGGATAGTGTACAACTTTGGATTTTGTGTAGCTGTTAGTTTGACCACCTGAGAAAGAAGTGATCATACCAAAATTTTGGCTTTTTAGTAAATGTGCAGGAAACAGTGGAAGGGTTTGTTGAAGTCTCTCAATAATACACCATATGATAATGGATATCTGAACAGCCCGACATTTTTCATATCTTTCACAATATGTTTTTGATCATGGAGATTTTTGGCAGGAAATCCTCTGTAAACATCCTTATTTATACATGATTTTGTAATTGTAGCCTTTGAGTTGACAAATGTTGATCTGTGATCACCTGCAGGCTGTGGTTTCCTTGTGTAGATTGTTATTCTGAACTGTGCACATGGAACATTGACATCACTGTTGATAAAGACATGGTGGCTGTGAGCTGTGGTGATCTTAAAGAACAGGTTTGATGTTATGATTTATACCAACTTTATATAGAAACAATGTCACTATGTTTCTCTCAGCAGTTTCCTTTCAGTTGGTAATTGTAAACCTCAAATATAGTGTAGATGCATGGCTGACAACAGAAATTTCCTCTCTGTTATGTCCAATATGTGGTACAGCTTTTTGGAAATGTTTTTTCCAAAGTAAGAAGGGAATGTATCAAGAAAATGTTTAGCAGGAATTCTGTATTGGCTAAAAGAGACAAAACTTTTTCTTGGGGACTCACCCTTAAACAAACCATGATGTGATTTGCTAGTTGAATAGATTTCTTTTCAGTATGTAATGGTGTTATTCCTGTTCAATGTAGTGCTTAGACGTAACACAAGCTATTATTTTTATGAAAATGTACACCACTGTGTTTTAATTTCTGTTTTTTTTTAATAGTTACTGAATCAGATGGTAATTCTTTACAGGTGTTAACTCCAGATGAAAAGAAGAAAACCTATCATTACACCCTTACTATTCCAACCTCTGCTCCTAATATTGCTTTGGCTGTTGGGTAAGTCACTCAACATCTTTCACAATTCATTGTACTATGTCCCTCTGGAACAATTTATACTCCCCCCTCCCCCAACTAAACAAGTTTTGCCATTTTCAAAAAGTTTCTTTAGAAAGGCTTCTGAGGCTTTGGTGTAAATAACTCGGTATTAATTGTATTCTGTAAAGATACGCACAGAGCTTGTACAGAGTCTTACATTCTTGAGAAGTAACAGAAATTTAGAGCTGAATGTTGACATAATTGAAAAATTGAGACACTTCTTTCAATGGTCTGAACTGTTTTCCAAGACACATCAAGTGCTTGATTGTTGGATGGATCTTGCAACTGAATGTATTCATTATTTTAACCCCTAAACCAATTTGAAAGTGTCTTAAAAGGCTGCTGTTATTTGATTTTAGTTATAACCCTATGTCTGGTAAATGAAAATGATGGTTTGTAAAAAGTATACATGTATTTGAAAGATATTTTGTTATTATTTAATTCTGGAAACCGTGTTCCTTGCAGACCATTTGAGATCCATGTGGACCCTGTTATGCCAGAAGTAACCCACTTTTGTCTTCCTGGTCTACGCCCAGTTCTGAAAAATGCCACAGCATTTCTCCATGAGGCATTTGAGTTCTATGAAGAATATTTAAGCTGCCGTTATCCATACACTTACTACAAGCAGGTCTTTGTTGATCAAGCCTACGATATCCTGTCACCGTATGCATCCTTGACAATATTTAAGTGAGTTCTGCTATTCTGATACTGTAACCTATAAGTTGAAAGAAAAAGAGTAGATGAATTTAAATTGTTACTGTCTCATAAATTGGTCTGAGATGTAATGTTGCACCCTCCTGGGCAAGAAAAAAAAGGAAAACAAATTATTTTTCTTCACCAGGAGCTGTGTAGTTGTGTTCTGATAGTTGATAGATGATGAAAAACCCACAGAGGATCCAGTTGGTTGTACATTCATTTGATAATTAGTTGGCCGGCCCTTCCAAATGTTCGTTGGTTCATGTAATCCTTTTTCTCTGTTCATTTCAGTACTAGTCTTCTACACTCTTCAAGAGTTATTGACCAGGGATTTGAAACTAGGAAGTATTTATCGCAGGCATTAGCTGAGCAGTTCTTTGGATGTTATCTGTGCATACAAACATGGTAATTAGGTGTTTTTGTATTTTAACTTTGAATAATTAAGAATTTGATTTTTTCCATGACAGAGGAGTTTTAAAATTATGATGAAATAAACATTATCAGTTAAGTCTGTCACTGTATCATTAATGTAGTCCAGGTTGTAATATCTTGAGTTGTTTTCTGGGTCATGGAAAAGCGTTAAATAAATATTGAAGGAAATAATAAAAAAAATACCAGATGCAAGAATCAACCAGACAGGAACAAGGGCTGTCAAGTTTACACTAGGTTTAGATAGACCTGGTTACAAAGGAAAAAATTTAAAGCCAAAATTTGCCAGATACACAAGCCATTATTTAGCAAATACGAAGTGTGGTTTTCCGCTGGCTGAGGGACGAAAGAAGCAGAAAACGTTTTTCTCACACGCAGCTGGGAGAATAAGTTCGAGTGTGTGGTGGGTCTCCAGGTCACATGGTTTTGTTGCGTTCCACCATTGCCTGACCTTCCCCACCCACCCTCCATATGTTTTTAGGGATATAGGATTTAAAGTAGTGCCTTAGTTCCAGTTATTCGTGCATGTCAGTCTTCTGTATCTAGGCTCAGTTTCAGCTGTTTTGTTCGTGTTGTAACCCTAATGGTTCATCGTGTTGATATAACAAAGGTCGGGCTGCATGGTCAGCTTGGCATGGCTCCCAGTTGTGTGTGAGAATTAAATTTTTTTTTTCTCAAGGTCAGATTTTTGGCTTTCAAGAGGCATATCTGGGTACTTGTTTGGTTTATTTATGAAAAAGATGTTTGGTAAAAACGAGTACAGACATTGGATAAGAGAGGTAAGTTAGTCAGTCATATGGCATCTTGGAGCCTGTGTCCTACACTTCAACATCAAGTTGTTTTAATTATCACCAACCATTTGAAAAATTAAAAAAATAACAATGTGAAAAATGGAAAATGTTGTATGCAGGAATCAAAACAAGTTTGCCAGTATGAAATGCAGGGCCCAGGATTACCTCCTCTTCACAGTGCAGGGACATTATCATCATCCAGTGTACAAGGCTCCTGTTCAGGTCAAACACCAGAGTCCCTAGGTGTAGGGTCCCCTCATATGCACCCTCATCTGACCTCAGGGAAGAACCTGGAGATTGTGTGGAGCAAGTCACATCTTGTTATGAGAATGATTGAGATGCGAATTGGACAGGAGCCACTGCTGCAGGTTCTATATGTTCATTTTTGTAGTTAATAGTCACTCTAAGGAAAATCTTATTGTGCAGCTTAAGTTGGTAAACTCTTTGGGAAGGAAGTCATTTTGTTAGGGAATTTATGTGATAGGTAGGTGAACAAACAAGAATGCTGGTTACCATAGCATTAAGTAATGAGTGGTGAGTGGTACTACCTTCTCCTTATGGATGGCATGCTAGTCCATTGCAGGTTACCTTTGTGCATATTGCCAAAGTCTGACACAGTTTCATGGTATCCAATCCATTTGTACTTGAGGGTTGAGAGGGGTAATGAGTGAATGAACTGTTATCTCTATCCAGAGTCACATGTGGTAAAAAGCATGCCTCCATGTCTCCCTAAAGGAAAGTGCTATGCACGACTATATTTTCTTAAGTGATCTGGAAGGGGCTCAAACTAAAAATAACAACCTTGCATGAAAGGGGAGATATAGATATTTTTCAGAAAAAAACAGTGTTGTTTGGGTAATCATAATGAATAGCATAGAATATAAAATTTTGATCTTAGATTTTTCTTACAGGTCTTCAACAAGCTGTTGTCACTTGCAAACAGTGCAGCACAGCCCAGGGCAGACTATAGGCTTTGGTCAAACCTTCTACTCTCCACCAGTGGGGTGAGGTTAAACATCAATGAACAACTGTAGAACATCTAATGTCATGGATAGTGTAAATACTTAGGAAATAAGTTGTACTTTGATAAAACCTAAAAGTTGTTTAACTCATAGGAGCAGTAATGGTGATAGTTGGAAAGGTATTGGTGATGATAATGTTTATGAAAATGAAATTAATTTTTTGTATTTTGAGTTTGGTAATATTTAACATAATTTATGCATTTAACGTGGATAATTATATTGTATTTGAACAGTTCCTCAAGTCAATATCCACAGTTTCTGGAAAAGATATCAATGTTTTTGTGGACCAGTGGATGTATCCTAATAAATTGATATTGTTAAAAATCATCACCTTTTCTGCATTTTTCAGTTCTGTGATTCCTGTCTAAACTGGACACCTATGGAACTTTCCCTCATTATCAACTCAGTTGCAGGTTCTCTTTGAGTAAAATAAGGGTGTGTGATTAATATCAATCAGTCCACAACTATAAGTCTCAGTTTAGTTTGATTTTAGTGATCTCCTAGAATTGGCAGTCTTCAGTGGATGTTAATTCAGATGTTTGTGTGATAATGCTAGCTACCAAATTACAAACCCAGTTGAGAGACAAGCAAAAGTCAATTAACCAACACGATATAATATTTAATGTTGTCATAATATCTTAAAAAACTGAGAAGGAAACTGTTTTTGTTGGCAAAGTTTTGAGCCTTGAGATCAGTGCATATAGAGAGTGTTTTCCTTAAATTGTGCTGCAGCTGTCACAGTGGAGTTGCTAAATTCCATGGAAGCTTTGTATTCAACAGAAAACGTAATATTGTAGAACTTCAAATCAAGCAGGATATGTCCAGAGGGACAGTGAAATATTTGGTAAGAAAAACTCTGAAACTTTTTAGCTTTTCTGCAGCCCTATAATTATTCTGTAGTGTTGTCTTTTGCATCCTTACTGCATATTATTTCACCTTAAATTGAATTATTTTTTTGTTTATTACCAGAGCTTACTTGAGAAGAAGTCGTCTTTTTCTTGTAAATAAGCATGGTTACCCTTGACACTTCCTTTTTTTTTTTCGATTGAGCATCATCTTTCCTTTTTTATTTAATACAGACCTATTTCCATGATTAACTAAGGAAACAAGAATTTATCATGGAAAGATCTTACTAAAATGTTTTCACCAAATGTAAATCTTTGAATTTGTTTTGTCTACAGGGACCTCTAACTGTGTGCATTCAGGAACTGGATGGATCATTCAATCACACTGTCCAGATAGAAGATGTTTTTAGCCGCCATGAAATACCTTGTCATTCAAAGAGTCGCAGAAACAAGAAAAAGAAGATTCCATTGATTACAGGGGAGGAGGTGGACATGAATCTGGATGCCATGGAGTGAGCAATTGTATTTTTTGCTTAATTTACTGGTTAAAGCCAGCAAAAGTGCAATTTTCCTTCACTTACCCCAGTAATTGGTAGACTTTAGCTTTAGTATTTAGGAAAATTGATCCTTTCACTCTTGACCTCTTAATAACTATACACAACTAGCTGTTAATATCCGCTGTACATTTTCTGTAAAGTGGCTCAGTAATTCTGAGAATGTGGATGGTATCAAATGACTACCTTTTGTTGATATTTTTGTTATTGTCAGCACCTGTCCTCTTGCCATTGTACGTGTCTCTTAGGATTATGCTGCAGTGAAACAAGGTGTCCTTGACAAGTTTCCTGTTAAATTTTCATTTTCAGATGAAATGGAAAAGTATGGTTTGGCAATTTTTTCACAGACTAGAAGAAATGACTGTTGACAAAAATTTAACTTTATTTCTCTTTAAACCACAAATAGCTCTGATTCACCTGTGCTGTGGGTTCGCATTGATCCAGAGGTTAGTTGGCTGCGGTATGTTTCATTTGAACAGCCTGACTACATGTGGCAATATCAACTGCGGCATGAGAGAGATGTCATTGCTCAGAGTGAGGTATGAGTTAAGAATTAACATTTTAATCTGAAAGCAAATTTTTTGTTTTAATTTTCCCAACATGCATGTATTTTTTTGGGAAGAAGTGACTGTCATCATCTTTGAAAGACTTTGGAATACAAATTAGAGTTGAATTGAGTAACCTTTAGCTTACCAGCAACATGTTGAATTCTTTCATTTGAATGTATAAAAAAAAAAAAAAACTACAAAAAACTCATATGGAGGCATATGTTTCGGGGATGCTGGTGAAGTGGTAAGCAACCTGAGCATTTAACACTTATGTTTCTTTTTCTTTTTCTTTTTTCTTTTTGATGGGAGATGTGGCAAAAAAATGGGCACTTGAATAAACAGCTTCCAACCAAGTTTGGACCAATTTATTTCTTCTGTTTTTGTTTAACTGTTAGTGCGTTACAAGCACCGGCTATCACATGTTCTCCTGACAGATGTTTCTCAGCTAACTTTCTGTACTAAAGAACCGCATTGTACTTTCAGGCAATTAAGGCTTTGGAGCAGTTTTCAACTCAAGCAACAAGGCAAACTCTAATAGATATGATAAACCAAAATGAATGCTTTTATAAAGTCAGACTTGAAGCTTGCTTTTGTCTTGCTAAGGTATGAAAAGAAAGAAGAAATTTGCGTCTGTCAGTGACTTAGAAAATATTTTCTAAGTATCTAACATGTTCTGTAAAATGTAATGCATAGTTAATCAGCTCAGTGATCAAAAATGAAATGAAATACCAGTTGGAAAAGAAGAGTTTAAGTTTCTATTGGTGCAGTAGTAGCTTGATGTAGCTAGGGAGTTTGTTACTTGTTATGGATTGAATGACAGTTCATTGCAGTAGTGACCCAATATTTCATCGATATTTTCTCACAGTTTTCTGAGAAGAGAGAGGCACTTTTATAGAAATAATTTGGATATATCAACAAAGTTGAAATGGTAAATTGGCCACCGTAACGATTACAAAAGCTGACGTTTCGAGCGTTAGCCCTTCGTCGGAGCGAATAGAGGAATTGTGGGTTTTGTGTGCTTTTAAAGGCAGAAAATNACGTCTCAAAGAAAAGTGTCTTCCCAAAGAAAGTAACAGAATGACCTGACCAGGGCACAGACATGGACCTCTTGAGATGGACTCCAGTTTACTGACCATAAGCATGTTATGACCCCATGTTTTATATTTCCTATTCCTCTAAAGAAAATACCAGAATTTTTTTTCTCTCTGTCTCACTGTCCAAAACAGGTTGCAACCGCTTGTGCTTCAAGTTGGCCTGGTCACACAACCATGATCGGAATTTTCCGAGACATGTTTGGTTCACAATCATGCCCTCACATTGTGAAATACAATGACTTCTCAAATTTCATCACTTACTTCATACAAAAGGTTTGGTGTAACCCTTAAACTTCCCAGATCTGACCATTAATTCTCCCCACTAAGTGCTACACCTTTCTTTGTAAATAATGTATGAGGATTTGGTGTAAGATCAAGATAATAACCACTACTTGATAAGTTCTAGTATCCTTATTACCTGTTTGTTGGATAATGTATTTAATATTATATGGGGAAGTTAGATACTAATAACTTTTGAGAGTTAAAGAGTAATGTTCTGATTTTTAAAGATCAGCAATTCCTAAATCATTTTTCCTTATAAATATTGTGCTGCAGGCTTATAATTGTTTCATAGTTTTATAGATTTTTAATAATTTTATTGTAAGCCTTGATTTTTAATTACTTTAATCTTGTAATGAGGGCCACTAGTTTATTAGCATTTAGATACTATTTCGTGCTACCCTCGCTAAATAAAGACTTTACTTATTTACTTACTTACAGTATGATGAGGAGTGTTGGTCAATTTTTGCAAGAGGGCATAGGCATTTCTATTATAAACTTAGTTAGGGAGTTCTGGAGGACTCTTCTAAGATAAGAAGTACAAATAATGCATTGTGAGGATGTGAATGATGTTTGTAACTACATTTCTTGTTATGTTTAGGCTCTGCCAGTGGCTACTGCGTCTGTGAGAAATACTCATTCCCAGTGTCCACGGGATGTTTTACAGTTTATACTGGATTTGATTAAATACAATGACAATAGACTGAACAAGGTAGCTAGTTTTGATATTTGCTCTCACTGTGAAAAAATTGTATGTTTATTTAGTTTTTTTTTGTTTTTTGTTTTATCTCCCATCTGCATGCTTTGTCTAGATTCTAGCATGTTAATCGATGAGAACCTTGTAAATGTCGCAATTTTAGAAATCTATTGATTTTAAGATGTTCCTCTCCAACATGGAATCCATGTTGAAATAGCTTGTTCTAGGTAGTTCATTACAGGTGCTGTAGTACTGTTACCCACAGGAAAGAGGATGGAGTGTTGTGGACCTGTCTCAGGCCTTCCTCGCCTTTGTTTCACTCCGCATGCAGCCACCTGTACTAAATTATTGCTTGGACATGTTGATTTAAAAATAAATGGTTTATTTGGGAGTCACTGTGAAAAAAGTATGTGGATTCTTTACCTTGTCCTTGTTTAATTGTTTGCTATTTTTACAGTACACAGATAGCCATTATCGGAGTGCCCTTATTGATGCACTGGCTGCCACCGTCACCCCTGGTGTTTCCATAGTTACCACAAATAGGCATGAACACATCTTCCTGAAGATTGTTGTAGACTTACTTTTTACTTCTTTTGTTATAGATATAGAAGTTATTTTCTCGACAAGAATAAGGATAAAGAATTCCTAAATATTTTTTTTACTTGAAACAGTTTACACAGTCCACAAAAGTACTGCTGCAGTAACAAAACTAAGCATAATTTCACAGTTGATTCTAGAGAACAAGCTGTTAGTAATAGTGAAGGGTTACACTTTTGTATGTCACATTAAGAGAGAGTACCTTTCAGCAGACACATTTTTCATTCTTATTATGTGTTTGTCGGATAATGTGTCACAATTACGAAGAGAAACTACACGTTAATCGCTCCTTGGAAATAGAGATTTGGGCACTGAGCATAATAATGGAGGCCATTTCTATATAAGAGGCTCGTTGTCTTTTCGTAATTGTCAAACAAAACTTACATCAATTATTGTTGGTTTTTTTTGTGTGTGTGTTTGATTGTTTTTTTATTCTGACGTTTTGTTTGTTTTCTAGTGATGGCAGCACAGTGGTCAAGTTAACAGAAGAAACACAACTTATCCTAGGAGAGGTGACTCGCCAGCTGAATTTAGAAAAGTTACTTCCAACTTACATATACGTTGTGTCTGTCAGGTGAGTGCGAGAGTTCGTTAGTGGACAGAAAAAACAAACCGACAGATCGAGACAGAGTTTTAGAGAGGAAGTACTGCAAGGGTCAAACAGTCCTATCCATGAAAACTGGAGGCCTGAAACAGATTTCTTGTGGTGCGCGTAAGCATTGTAGGTACGTCGCAACTTTTCCGTTCATGCGCACCAGTTATAATCTGGTTTTTGATTAAATTGAATGCAGAGGAAACCATGACTAAGTGACTGGTTTTACCTTTGCATCTGATTGGTTGAGAAGTTGGCGCGACTTCACTAGACCAATCACAAAGCGAAGTCAAAGCCTGATTCGCGCTTTCGATGTGAAGCGTTAATGTAGCTTTGAAGGTTACAGATGTATGGTGACCCGTTTATTTTCGTACTAGTTGCCAGAGGAAGCAAGTCAAACTAAAAAACAAATACAGATTATTTTAAATATAGAATAACATTTGAGAGTTCATTGAAATGTAACTTTCAATTCGTAGAGCATTCCATACATCTTATAGATCTTTACGTGATCTCTGGTTGACCGTTATGTTCAATATTGGATTCGTCGCGTCTTTAAATAAAAGGGGGGGTTGGTCCCCAGACTCCCTGGGACAACGCTCTGGCGCCAAAACTATTATACTCTAAGTGCAAATCAAAGCCACTGTTTCTTCGGGTGACTTTTGACACTCCGTCGAAACTTGCTCTAAAGACGAGGTTTGTTAGTTGTTGGCCTGGTGGAAAACTGTTTGGTATTAAGACATTGCATTTAAGATCGCTGTTATGAGTTGAATAATGTCTTTCTTACAGCTGTTTAAAGGCGCTAAGAGTTCTTCAAGTCAATGGTCAAATCCCCTCTGACCCTGCTGCATTTGAATATTATGCCAGGTGGGCCTGTGTGTTCATTTAGAAGTTGAAATTGGTGACCAGTGGTAGTATGTTCCGTGCTCGTTCCTCTCTTAATCTCGTCTACGGGTCTCCTTGGCAGCTGGAAATAGAGAGACCCTAGGACTACAATCTTAGTCACAAGAATTGGAAAATTGTACCCTTCGGGATTTTTCCCTTCCCACAAGTGCTACGTCAAATGAAGAATCTTAAGTCGTAGGGGTCTACATTATATTACCATCTAACGTTTAGAGGGGAAATATGTGTGCCGTGACTTTTGGTAGATTTTGGCTCAAACTGGATGTTTGGACAATTTTCCCAACTGAGTTTGTCCAAGATTAAAGTTTGCACGTCTTTCTATTTTCACTTATTCTGTTTCTTTTTCTTATTCAGCCATGGTCATTTTGAGGATGTTCGACTGGCAGCTATCGAGTGCCTCGTGGATCTATCCAAATGTGAGTTGTCACAGCTTTTACATTCTAAAAGCGTTGACCTGAAGTTACAGCCCATCAGTTTTTATCTTACTTCGGCCATCCCCAACCATCGTTGTTCCCCTCTAGTTGATTTTTCTCTGTCTACTTTTTGTTTTTCCTGTAAAATTCCCTTTTTAAATGTTTCCTTCCAAGAAACAATAATTTTCAAAGACTCAAAAACATTTCAAAAGAGGGCAAAAGGAAAAAAACAGCTGACTGTTCCTCTTATATTTAGGTAATAGGAGTTTCTCGGTTTATTTATATTTGGAAACGATTTTACCAATATTCCATTCTTCAAAAAATTGGGTTTAAACGTCTCAAGAAGTTGTAATGCTTTTATTTTTGATTTTTCAGCTGAGAGCCTTGAAAGGGGAATGAACTATTTGATTGGACTAATTGAAAGAGATCCAGTGCCATTTATCAGGTTTGTATCAAGTTTGACTTTTGGTCTGAAGAAAAATTTGTCAAATCTAATCATTTCTTTTACCTGCCACATGCTTTATGATTTGCCGTGTGGGTGGTACAACTGAAAACAGAAAAAATCTCCAGATTATTCCTTTTGCCTATCAACTGCCGTTCACATAAACGACTTTTTCCTTTATGTTATAACCTAAAACAGAAAAATATATATCTTATTCAATTGTATATTATAGCTCGTGTATCTGCGCTGGCAGTGAGTGATACCGAGCTTGGCTTCGCCCCTGAGACTTTACTAACCCTTGAACTTAACAGCAATGATTGACATGTAACTTCTCCTCACAGTTTCAATTCACAACAAACAGATGATGAGAATTCACTTTGAATACACTAGCTGATAAATAGCAGTTGGAAAGTGGAATGTCTAATCAGATCTTGAGAACAAATTGGGTGAATTTTTCGTAGACAATCTTTTTTTTGTTGTTGTTGTTTCCAGACACTACACTCTTTGTTCACTCACAAAGAATCCACCATTTTCGCGCAAATCTGAATCGTCTCTGAATAATCTGGATCTTGTGGAGTCTTTGTGGCGGTTAATTAAGTAAGTGTTGCTAAGTGCTAATTTGATGGCTCGGATTACCACTCGTTACAGCTCGTCATAATTACATGCCAAATCACAGGTTTCGCGCTTCTGTCCGATTTCGGACGATGATTTTTCATTTAGGACGGTTCCGTCATATTTCGATCGGTTCGTTTCGTTAGCTGATGGTGATGCTTTTCTAATGTCGGTCCGTTCCGTCATATTTCGGAGAGTTCCGTTCCATAGCCAGGGCTTGACACTAACGGTAGCCCACTAGCGACAGAGTAGTAGAAATTCAGTTTTGGGTAGTGGTTTTCAATTTCAACTAGCCAGTTTGCCTAGTAAACAGACTGAAATTGTCGTAACATTTAAAAACATCTAAGATGTCACTAGCCACTTGGCTAGTAAGTTGAAAAGTTAGTGTCGAGCCCTGCATATCGGATGGTTTTGTTTGATTTCGGGCGGTTCCGTTAAATATTGAACGACTGGTCTGTTTTCTAAATTTGCATTATGTCGTTTTTTCCTTCCTTTTTCTTTCTTTCCTTCTTTGTCTTTCATTGTCTCTCATCTTTTCTTGTTTTATTTCGTTCTCTTTTTAGTTCCAGTTCCTCAGTTGATGCTCGACTCAGACGAGATGGAGTGGAACTGTATAATGCATTGTGGGGCCGGCTGACACCTGGCTGTGTTCCTCCCCAGGGGGTGAGTGTAAGGAAACTTTGAGTGAACAAGCGAATAAAAGATCTAGGAGAAGGCCTGGTGACAAAATATTAACCATGATAAAGTCTTTTGGACATCAACTGTTAATTTATCATCACAGTGATTTTTGTTCATTTTGTAGATGGGCATCGTGATAGATTTGAAAGAAAGGAAGATAATGAGCCTGTCTCCTCTTCCACCTCCAGTTTCCCCGGTAAGTCGCAAGTAATCCTCACAATTTACTCTAGTTTGATATCTCCACTTTAAAATAAACGACAGTTTTAATTAATTCTCTTGTAAAGGCCATCCTGTTGTTTTTTTTTGTTTGTTTGTTTGTTTGTTTTTTTTTTATTTTTCGGTTGTGCGATTTTCCTTACCAGACGACCTTTAAAACGTCTCAAGAGAAACTCCGTGTTGATATAGACTTTGGAGATGAAACTTGAGCTCCAATTAGGAATGAAGCTGAAAAGTTAGTTGATGTTTTTGTTTTTATGTTATTCTGTAGGGATCTGTCAGCGGCGAAGAATCGACAACATCAAAGAAAGGTCAGAAGAGAAAAGCTTCCAGAGCAGCGTCACCTGCAGGTTAACAAAAAACACTTTTGAAGATTTAATCTTAAATTGATTCATATCATACCTCTCTTCGTAATTTCGTAACATCAGTCAGCAAGCAGGGGTTGAGGAAATACAAACTATACAGGTGAAGAGTATTATCTTCTAGATTCTTTTCACTGATTCATAAGGAAGCGGGGTGCCGCAGTTAGAGGGTAAATTTTAATGCGTTCTCCAATTTGAAACGGCCGATTATGAAACAAGTTTGTCCTCTTTTTCATCAGATTTAAGTCATCTCGATTCCCAGCCTGGTACACCTGTGAGTGTTGAGTCTGCTAATTCTGAGGCCAGCAAACTTCGTTTGAAGATTAAGGTATATAGCGTATGGTTTGTTCTTACGGTCTCCATTAGTATAGTACATTTTCTCCTCGCAGTCTCCTTATGGATGTGACAATCTCGTGGGAAATGTTTTGTCTTTTTTATGGGATGAGAGATGTGTTGGTCTTGTGATTAGGTCTGAGTGGTGCGGAATGCAGCCCTGTCTGAGTCATTGTGTTGCCAACTGCCTACATGGGGAAGATAATCACAGTACTCCTCTCAGGGGTAGAAATAGCTACCAGCAAACTGTCAGCCAACAGGAAGAAGTCCTGTTGGTTACCTGGGATGGATGAGCTCTTCAGGAGGACTGGTGATACTCCTAGTCATTTCATGTTACAGAAACTGAAATATAAACTGACAACAATGTTTACTTTGCCCTTTTATCTACCAGTGCCTGCGCGCCTCCCGGTTAGCTCAATGGATAGAGCGCTGGACTGTAGTGCGGGAGGTCGAGGGTTCGAGCCCCGGCCGGACCAACACTCAAGGTCTTAAAATAATTGAGAAGAATTTGCTACCTTTCTATAACATCAAGAAATGGTTAGATATTCTAGTCTTCTCGGATAGGGACGAATAAATGGAGGTCCCGTCTCCTGCAGGGTTGGGGCAGGAGACGTTAATTTCCCACACACGAGATTACTGTGTGATGGATGTCCTCCCCTGGGGTGGGATGGGTGGGTTAGGACAGCAGGTCCACATCAGCTATTACAGCTGCCAATTAATCAACCTGCTTAAACAAATAAATGAACTTCAACACTTCAACTAATTTTGTGTTATTTCCTCGTTGATTATAGATTGGAGGAGAAGAAAGCGGCACTGAAAGTGGAGGAGAGACTCGAGTAAAACCAGCCCCTGAGCCTGGTGCCCCAACTCACAAGAAACACAAGAAGAAGAAAAAGAAGCACAAAATTAAAGACGAGCGAGAGAAAAGGAAACTGAGCACGAGTAGCAGTAACTACGACTCGCCACTGATGTTCGACGCCAGTCTCCCTTGAGCTTAAGTCTGGAACGAAGCGCGGATTAAGTGACCAATTAGGAGGAGTAACTGAAAACTTACAGTAGA